GTCACACAACAGCATGTCCCAGTTCTTTACGGTCATTGGCCAGTGTGTCAATGATAGCACATGATAGCACAAGCTGGGTGACTTAAACAAAGATTGTTTTCATTTTCTCGAAATTCAAGAAGTTACTGAAGTCCAAGGCCAAGGGTTCAGAGGTTTCTCTTTTAGGCTACCTGGATTGGCAAACAGAAGGCTTATTTCTCGCCACACTCCAGGACTCCTTCTCTGTGAGCAAATTTGTATGCAAATTTCTTATTAAATGCGCCAGTCAGCTTGGATTCGGGCGCATTCTAATGACTTCATTTAAACCAGTGTGCTTTTAGGGGCCTTGTCTCCAAAATAAGGTCAGAATTGTGAGGTCCTGGGAGTTAAGGGCTTGAGCGCATGGATTTGAGGGGCTATTACTAGCCTGTGACCGGCGATTTCAGCTGCTGGCAGTAGTATGTGATCCCACGCATGGTTTCATGAAATCCTCGCGGGAGCAGATACGAGCATCTCTCTCCCCTCTCTCTCTCCTTTCCTTCCCTTCCCCCCACTTCCCGCGTGTTGTTTTTGAAACAGGGCCTCACTATGCAGCCCTGACTGTGCCAGCATTTACTCTGTAGACCGGGCTGGCCTTTAAGACACAGCGATCCCCCTGCCTCTGCCTCCCGCGTGCCGGGATTAAAGGCGGTTTCCCTTTTGTTTGTTTGGTTGGTTGGTGGTCGGTTCTTAAGACAGGGTTTCTCTGTGTAGTTTTGGAGCCAATCCTGGCACTCGCTCTGGAGACCAGGCTGGCCTCGAGCTCACAGCGATCCCCCTGCCTCTGCCTCTTGAGTGCTGGGACTAAAGGTGTGCATCACCAACGCCTGGCTCCCAGGGTAGTTTATAATAAAGTCTACTGACTTAGCCATCTGGAAGAAATGCCTTTGATATACACTTTGGCCAAAAGGTAAATATTAAAATCAACAGTTGACCAAAGTTAGATATTACTAGTCAAGAAAGAACTTTAGGAAGAAGGGATTGTATTTGAAACTTTCTCAGATGTTTTAAAAGTCAAATGTTGCTGGTTTTTCTTGTCCTGCCACCCTTCTCAGCCCTAAATAAACACACAGATGCTATATTAATTATTAAACTGTTGGCTGATGGTTAGGGCTTCTTATTGTCTAGCTCTGTCTCAACTATTAACCCATTTCTGTTAATCTATGTGTTGCCGTGAGCCTGTGGCTTACCTATCGTCCAGCATGTTACTCCTCCAGCCGCATGGTGTCTCTTCTTTACCTTCTCTGCCT